TGGTATTTTCTTTTGTCAGGAGAAGCGTAAAGGCACCCAGGGTGTTATTCAGATTGAGAATCCCAATTTGGCTAAGCCAAAAAATGTGAAAGCTAGAGACATTGATGTAAGAGAGCCTCAAATGATGTGTACACTCTTTTGATTATATCATGGTATCTAGGTTGAACCGTTCCTTGTGTTTTGCAGATGGAGAAAACAACTGAACTTTCACGTCGTGAAAGGTTTGTAATGGTTACTCGTCTATTCTTCTAGTAGTCTACATTGATTATATCAAGCATTTCCTATTTTTATTGTTTGTTTTTGCAGTAGGTGGTTCATGTTTGAATTTTTTTCTGCAATTCTAACAAACTTTTCTTGTTTGCAGAGAGGAGATAGAAAGACAGAAAGCCCATGAAAGGTATATGAAGCTTCAAGAACAGGGGAAAACAGAACAAGCGAGGAAAGATTTAGGTATGCTATTTGCAGTTTGCAACTGAGTTTTGTTAGAAGGTGTTATCTTTGAATTTTTCCATTTAAATTAGAAAATTTAGCATGTCACATAACTCTTAAAAGATCTTGGAGCATGGTTTTTGTACAACTCAATCTGATTCATCTTAAATTGAATGCGCTCATCTACAACTTGCATGATGCTGGAGCAGTATATGTTATTATAGTTGATGGGTTTTTGAAGCATAAGAGTGGGATCTCTTTTATTGATATGTTTCTGTTGCTAACTTAATAACCTTGTTTGGCACTGTAAAAATCCGAGGTCCATTGGTTTTGTAAATGCCATATAGTTTCCTGCACAAACTTGAGCCTTGGCCTTGTTTACTTGTAGATTTGAAATCTGGAAAAAATCTAGCATCTTCTCCATTCTTTCCCAGTGTTTTCTTTCCTTTTTTATTTGTGTTTGGCATACTAATATGTGATTGCCTTTGTGGATTAGGACTTCTAAGCGTGACACTGACTTATTATCTTTGTTTCATTCTTTGCGGATGAGATGATGATTGATTGGCTGATATACTCGGCCTTGAATGCTGCTTAGTTTTGAAAGATGATGTACTTCCACAAAACTTATGTCGACTAAACATTGTTGAACTTGCAGAACGCTTAGCCCTTATAAGGCAACAAAGAGCAGAGGCTGCTAAAAAACGTGAAGAGGAGAAAGCTGGTAGTTTTCATTTTTTTAACTGTTCAACATGCTATTTTATTTATCCCGAGTCTACAACTTGAGGCTAAGTCTCGTTGATTACTCTTGCAGCCAAAGAGCAGAAGAAGGTGGAAGCTCGCAAATGAGGTTGATAGATTCCAAGATGTGAAATTAGTATTTTGATGGTTTAAAAGCAGTTAGTAGTTTCTACAGTTAAAGATTGTTATACAGCCATGTTGGCCAATTGTTAAGACTGATGTTTCTCATAAGTTTGACAATTCGTGGTTGTTGAAACAAGATCAATACCTTTCAGTATTTTTGCCTTATGTTCTGTAACACAAGTTGCACAATGGCGTATATTTGGCCTTAACGGTTCTATGAAGTGTATGCCTGTCTTTGTTGAATTACGGAAATTCTGAAACAAAATGGGATCTAGGTAACCTATTTGAATAGCTTGTGACACAGAGTTTGCTCTGTTAACAGCTTGGCTGTTGTTTTGGCTCCCTTGAAGTACCGGGCTGATACGGGCATGCAGTATTCCTGCAGGCTGCAGTTGAGTGATAACTTTGGGGTAGGAGTCATTCAGAAGCGTCTTTAATTTAGTTACAAAAAAAAATCATAAACTATTTTCGAGATGTATTATATATTCCACTTCCACAATCCCCAGTATTCATTTTCGCCTTGTGCCAGTATTTTTTGCCTTGCACAAGCTTGTGTTCATGGTCAATGCAAGAGCTAATATTGTTTGTTTCTTTGTTGAATGATACTCGAACATTGAGTTGATCCTTCATATGCTGCTGTGTCCGGTGTTAAACCTTTAATTTGCTTGAATGGTGGCCACGCAATTTATTTGCATTTGGATGTACACAAATTGTGAGTGAGACCAATACCATGCGTCTTAATTGTGATAATGTAGGTGTATCTTGGCTTTTATTCAGCATCATTAGTAACACAACTAGATGCTCTACTGACCACTGGGGGTTTGGTCCATTGCTCAGGAGAAGGCTCTTAAAGTTCTCTCCTCAAATTTAGGGTTCGAATTCTAGATCCGAAAAATGGCAGTCGGGAATGGGAATGGGAAAGGTGTGAGGATGAGGTTAGAGGTCTCCTTAAATTTAGGACTCGTATTCTAGGTTAAAAAATGATAGTTGAGAATGAGAAGGGTGTGAGGGTGGGATGGGAGATTAAAAGAAAAAAAGGTAGACATGATACCACATCCTTTTACAAGATTACACGTTTACGACCATAAAAAATTGGCTTTGTTGATCCACGGGATTGTGGAGATTGTTAGCAAATTCATGGTAGGTGAGTAAAGCAAAACGTGTTTGTTTTCTTTTTCTTTTTCTTTTTAATAAAGATGACGTAATACAAAAATATGAAAGTTAAAAAGGACAATACATAGCAGATGGTTCCCAAATCCTAATTCCTACAATCATTGTCCATGAGATGAATAATTGTAGTATTACTTAACTGGTGCATGTATCTATCGAGAAGAGAAATATCAAAGGCTTCATTTATATTGTCGACTAGTTTTCAGTTAGACCTATCGTGTTTCAGTTTTTGACCTATATGCTTCTGGACTACTAATCTAGATTTAATACATTTGGTCTTTTATATTCATGAAATTTATCCGTTTGGATTGTATTTTTTGGAGAACTTTTGGGTATAAATTACTGTAGTATTTTTTTTAGGATATAATGTATGTGAGGTGAAAAGATAATTGAAAATTATGTACAAACAATATTCACGAAAAAATGTAAAAAATTTTCTCCAAATAAATCACAATTCAAACGAGGCTATAGGCATATTGAATTCTAGCCCGTGTTCTGATCTTGTAATTTTAATGCACTGGTACTTTGTGTCCGCGAAATGTAAACTTCTTAAAAAAAGAAAAGGGAAGGTAAACTTCTAATTTGTGATAATTTGTAAAATACATATGCTTCTAACAAGTAGGATAAATCACCAAAAATACATCAATTCGCTTTATAGCCGAAATAGAGTAAATTATATTTTGATTTTTTTAAAAAAATTAATTCTTTCTTCATTTGCTTTATTCATGGATTATCCATACTTTTTTTAATTCATTCAATATCAGTCAGAAATATGTGATTATACCATGGAGAACTCATTTAATTTTATTATATGTAATAAATATTATGTGTTAATTGAGAAAAGGTTTAGCCAACGAGTTGTTTAGTCAAATTTTTTACCTAACATTTTCTTCTAAAACATTTTCAGCGTACAAGGACAAAAGGTTGAAGCGCTAGTTCATGGTATAGATATAGAATTTTTCAACAAATTTTTTGACACCTATAACTGGTGCTACATTTCCAATGCAAAAGTTCAATCCATTTTGACCACAAAGTTCCACCAAAAAAAAATGAACATTGATGGATCATCAACACCACATCTGCTATCCAACAAATTGATAGGCGACTCATTTCAGGTGTCTCTATCTCCCACCTTAACAGAAATTACAAAATAAGTACAATCCAAATTTTGTTTTAAAAACTAACAAGCAAGTATGCCTCTTAAATAACACTATCAAAAAATTCATATATTCAAACCTTCTTGCAATTGCCATTCACATTCAACCACAATCTATAACAGCAGATCCATGAATTAGACAAGTTATCATTATTGATCAACAGTTGGACTAATACCTATCTAATTAATAAAAACGCACTATAGATATATTCTCACCAAGAATGTTATACAGCTTTCAACCAATGACACTAATTCTTTGGCGTGAATATGGTTTGTTTGGATTGGCCTTTATTTCCCCAAATATATTTGCTTACATCATCTTTACAATTTCCAATACGCCTTTTTACCTTCCCAATTACCTTTTCATTGCACATACATCACATCACAAAAAGTGCTACAGTAAAAATATCTCAACTAACTTACAATCCAAACAAACAACAATGAGAACCAATCAACCAACCAATAGTTGACATTGCTCCTGCCCCTTTGTAAGCATCATCCCACAATAAGTAATACAAAAATTACAAATCTTCAAGAGGAGCTATTACACTAAAAAATAGCTTCTAATAGTATATTCAAAACTTTTGTAACTCTCAACCTATCTACAAGATAATAGAGACAATACAAGGAAAGACACAACTACAACAAACTACTAGCATCTACAAGAAAAAGTTAAATCCAATAGATTACTACTTTAGTTTCATGCAAATACAAGAAGCACTGTGAAGGAAACTTATGAATTCCATTTTTACCTAATCTTCTATTTTTATACTTTAATATACAATTACACTTAGGGTGCGTTTGTTTCTATAGATTTAGAATTGAATTAGAATCAAAATTCTGTAGAATTGGAATTCTATGAATTGGAATTCCAAGTCATTCCAATTCTTTCGTTTCGAAAATGCATAGAATTGATACGGAATTTATTTGGAATTCCAAATTCTTTGTTTGCATGAGAGAAGAATTCATTAGGAAATAGAATTGTTTTCAAGAAAATTTGCTTACATAAAATTTTTCTTTTTTTCTTTTTTCTATATAATAATTTCTTTTTTTCTTACATTTAGCTAATTTTTACTAAAGATTTAAAAGAAAAAACCATTTTGTGCCTTTAATAATTTATTTTTTCTCACTCTCATATAAATTTCTTTAGAGAGCATTTCCTTTAGCATGTTTTGATCCATTATCCCTTTTTGTGAAGAAATATTTCCCCATCTCAGCCGTGGTATTTTCAACTGTGTTTTGATATATTATAATAAAACAAAATTCTTTCTTATTTCTAATACTTATGCAAAATTCAAAAAAGATTTCATCAATCATAATAGCTATGCACAACTAACACTCAAACTCCTTCATTAAGTACCAATGGCATGATAAAACTATGAGAGAGGAAAAGTTTGAAGCAATTTTTCACTCATGTGACAATAACTACAAAATCAAGAAGCAATATTTCATGCAAAAAAAAAGATAAGAAAACAATCAGTTACAAATAAATCCTACATATATAACAAAAACACTTGATCAAATGCTTGAACTGTATAAACCAAAAAGCTAAAAACTATCAGTTACAAATAAATCCTAACTCAAGAGGCCAACTATATAAACCAATTTCTGTTTCTCCCTTTTCCACCCCTGCTCCAACCACCTCGTCCTGTTTCTGTCTCTGTTTTATGTTCTTCAGTAAATAAATAGAAACTTAAAAACAAAAAAAAATCCAGTCAAAAACGCATATCTCCAAATACCCCTTTGTCTGTTCATATCAATTCTTCACTTAGGTAGCTGTGCATTGAGCTGTAAGGAGAGTTGATAGCCACAAATTGTATATGTTCAGGCATAACTCTGCAGATCAGAGGTCAAGAGAAAGTACTTCAATGAAGCAGCAGATATAACATTTCAACGCCCAGTTTTGGGACGTTTCATTCCACTAGTATTGAGAGGTGACATGTTGCCACTTGGTCCTGGACTCTCTTCTCTAAAATTTGAGTTCAGCATGGCTAGTTCATGAAGCTGCTACCTCTTTATATGGTCCTGAGACTCATCCTGCAAGAAAAGAAAATAAGGAATATCAGTTGAAACCAGGTTAACTTGATTTCCATCAAGGGTTCACACCAGAACTTGTGATGACATTTACTGAGGCTATACACAAATTTTAGCTAGATTTGACTATGAAGTTCAGCGACTGAACTTCATGGTCAAATTCATTTTCTCATTCTATGGTTAATTGGACTTCAATGTCAAAAAAGAGGGGTGAAAAAAGAAGAGTAACATCAATTATCTCAAGTAGTTAACTTATGCAATTTTGAAGAAAATTATGTAGCATACCACAGGCTTTTGATTTAAATAATTGAACTCAAACCCACTCCAGTCACAGCACCACAAATTAGTAAGAGGAAGCAGAAACAAAAGCAGACCTTCAATCATTAAGAAATGCACAAGTTAACCAGAAAGGTCAAAATATCAATTATCAAGATAACTAACAGCAATCTGCAGAGATAAGCAAAACATAAGCCCATGGTCAAAAAATTTCAGAAAGTTTTCACCTCAAGCGAATTTCCTCCTTTACAGAATCTTTGGCATCATCTGTAGTAGTAACTACAAAAAGCAGCTTGGATCTCACAGTATTCAGAACGAGGACACGCTCAGCAGCCACCTGCAAACTTAAGCAATTGTACTAAAATCACCAAAAAGAATAATCATCCAAGAGCAAATCCAAGTTAAGGAAGTAATGAAACAGCGGTCATCAGTTAATAGAATTCGTCTTCCACAATCAACTACACATCATAATTCCACAACCAACTTTGCAGAAACTAAGTAAATTGCGGAACACTGAGATAAAGAACTCATCCATAAACATATGATTCTAACATCAGAAACTATTCATTACCTTGAATTGGAGAAAAGGTTTATCATGAGTTCATTGATCAAATTAAAGAGAAATCAAGAAACAGAGATACAAGGAACCAAAATCAATTAACCCTATTAACCAAGTAACAAGAATCAGTCAAATTAAAATAATACAAAAAATGAACTAATGGAGAAAAAGAAGAAATTCTTACCAGAGCTGCAAGGATATGATCAATCCTCTCTTTAATCCCGAAATTAGGAATCCAGTATCTACACAAAGTAAAACACGAAATATAGACACGATGATAGTAAAAATAACAAGAGGGGAAAAATGAAAAAAGAAGAAGAAGAAAAGGAAACTGAAACCAACTTTATCCACGCATGACAATAAACTCTCCGTCATTGAACAAATCTGGTGGCCAATTTGCCAGTATCGTAGTCAAGTTCGACCACAATTCCGTCACAAAATTCAAGCTCAAGCGGAGAAAAGCGGATGCATTCGCTTTCACCTCCCCGGAATATACGAATCTCCAAAGAAGAGAGCACTTGGAGGGGTGGCAGGAATGGTGAAGAGTAGAGGGATGGTCGGAGGAGCGAAGGGCAATGGGGGTGATGGTCGTGTGAGAGGCGCAAAATGTTAAAACTGAGATGGAAGCGGCGGTGGAGAGCAAGAGCCATTGAGCCGAGCAAGCGGTGAATTAGACAGAAAGAGGGAAGCGAATAAACTTGACCCGATTTTTATTTTTTATCCACATTAGACCCGCGTGTAGACCCATTTTTTAGGGTTTAGACGTGGAATTGGAATCAGAATTCTTTTGGTCTGATAAAGAATTCAACTCATGGAATTGAAACCTCTTTTGGAATTAGAATTCAATGCCAATACCATGGAAAATGCAGCATCCAAACACAAGAATTAGAATTGGGGTTCCAATTATAATTCTAAACCCCAATTCTATGGTTACCAAACGCACCCTTAGTCTTTTAATGGCTCTCTTTTTCTTATTACAAATTATACTTCTATACTATAACGCCAAACAATGGGTTGTGGTGTATTCTATAGATATAGATATATTGTTGTCAAATTCCATGACTATTGGGGTGAAATTGCAGCGATTGTCGCCGAAATAATGAACAGCGACAATCAGTTTGGGTGAAAATCAACTAGTGGCGTAAACTTTTTGTCAATTTACAACAGCTTAGTCTATGGATATTATTGTCATCTTATGTTATCAGATAGAAGATTAACCAAAAGGAGAGTGTTAATATCATATCACTTCTCTAAAAAGAATTGGAGAAGGCAAAATGGCAGTCTTGGCATATATAGTTACCACTTACAAGGTGACTACATATAATTCACCTGTATGCAATATCGAGTTTTATTATGCTTTTGTACCGTGTATTTTGAGAGCACAGAGGCCAGGCTAGACATTGGCCAGTTTTTTTAAGGGTTAATTACGATTAAATCCTACCTCATTTTTCACTTTACCCCTTAACCTTTAATTTTGCTCACTTAACCCTCTTATAGGACAAAATTACCCTTCCATTATTTTGACTTTTCATTTACCTTTTTTCCTGTCTTTTATTTCTTTTTCTCTTTCTTCTCTCTTTCATCCTTCCCAGTAGAAAACTCCATCTCAATGGAAATTTTTATTTTGAGTTTGTATTTGCATTTCTGGGGTGAAGGTTTAAAAAGCATTAAAAACTAATTTTGATTTTTTGTATGATGTCACGTGTCACAAATTTCAATTGATAATTATTAATCAGGTCACAATTTCATCTTATGATATTTTCTTGATAATAAAATGAGAAACTAGAAAGGAAAGAGGAAAAATCAAAATTAAAAGAATTGAAAGGCTAAAAATTGTATTTTAGGAAAGTGATTTGAATATTTTTTTAATCATTTAAGGAGAAGATAGATCTCTGCAATTTCTCTTTTTTAATTCAAATCATTAAGATGAAAATTTTTGTCGAAAAGAGGAAGAATTAAAGAAAGAAGAAAGAGGCAAAGAAAATAAAAGAGCAAAAAAGGGGAAAGAAAAAAAATAAAAGAGAAAAATAAGAGTTTAGAATAATAGAGGGATAATTTTGTCCAATGGGGTAGAAAGTGAGACAAAAAAATGATTAGGAGATAAAGTGAGAAATGTGATATACTTTAGAAGATTAATTGTGATTAATTTAGATTAAAGTAATAATAGAGTGATATACCCTTTACCTTTGGAGTAGGCATGTCAAGTTATCAATGGATGGAGATTACCCAAATATACCATTAGGTCCATGATGGATCTGGATCCAACTTTTTAAGTCTAGATTCTGTAGAAGAAATATGGGTCGAGATGCGTTTTTGTTGCGTACAATGCGAAGCAAATTTACAGTGTCTTACAGTGTTTTATTACTTTAAAATACTTGACACTAAAGTAGTTTGAAAGTGCTAGTATTTTCAGTTTCGCGTAAATGGCTTTCAATCATTAACTTCCATTCGCAGAATTCTGATTACATAACAACAACTGGATACAAATGCTTGCATCGACAAGAAAAGGTGAAAAAAGTGGAGTTTCAGTTACATGCAAACTGAACTGGACAAGGACGGATCCAGCTGCATCCCAAGAATTTTAAAAATCTCATTTGCTCCCTTATAAATTTTAAAAATTTTGTTTGTATTGTGAATTTAAACTTACAAAATTATTCTGATATCAATTACTTGCTGTACTCCCCCTATAGCTTGAGAATTTGGTATTCATTAGATATATGTTTTACATTTTACTTTTGCCCCACAAAAATTTCAAAAATGTTATTAGCAAATAGGAGTATAAATGAACACAATCAAACCAAATACTCTAGTATTGAAGCTTGTCAATCTATTTTAACAAGTTTAAAATTGTTTTTAGGTTTGGCTTATTTATTCATCAAGCCGAATTCATATGAGTTTTTAAAGAGGCGAATTCATATTTCTTCGTATGAATTTTATGTTAATCAAGCCAAGTTTGAACCAATTTGAAAGTTTACCAAATACAAAATGTAATTCATGTTTGATTTAATTGGTTAGAGAATCAATATAAATAAGCTATTATCAAATTATATTTAATCATATTTCATAAAATGAATTTTTCATCCTTCATATTTCACAAAATAAATTTTTTCGTCCCTCATATTTTACAAAATTAAAATTTTCATTCTTCATTGATTATGCGTACGACTAATCTTTTCTTATTTTTGAAAACTAATGTATATGTCTATTTGATTTCATCTAAACAGTACAAATAGCATGTGATATAGTTGTATTTGATTTCATTTAACAAATATATTATATGCTATTCGTACTGTTCAGGTGAAATCAAATAGTTATATATATGGGTTAAAAAAAAGAAACTATTCATACACATGATCAATGAAGGATGAAAAAATTCATTTTATAAAATGTAAAAAATGAAAAAATTTATTTTTTAAAATATGAGGGACAAAAATATTGATTTTGTAAAATGTGAGGGATAAAAAAAATAAATTATGTAAAATTTGATATGACAAATTTGCCCCTAAAAACTGATCACATGCAAGGTATGTGGTGGATTTTGACGAAAAATCAGTCAAAAATTTAGATAAGAACCAAACTTGATCAATGTAAATTTATAAGGGATGTGAAATTATATTTTTAAAAGTGAAGGACGAAAAAAATTATTTTGTTGGTATTTGGGCCATGGGGATCCGGGGCCAGCCCAGCCAGGAGGTCGGTTTTGTTACATTCCCATAAATAAAACGTCGCAGCGCCGAAGTTTTAGCCTGTCATTAGACGAGTTAGGGCTTCGTCCTATTACCAGAAATACAGAGTAAACGAAATTAGGGCGTCGTTGGTTCATCCATGGCAGAGATTGAGGTACCTTGGGATGATGCTGGAAGAGGAGGGATTGCGGTGGTTGGAGATTTGAAAGAGTCATCGTCGCCGGTCCATAAGAAGCAGAGATCGGACGAAAAAGATGAACTGGAGTTTTATGACGAAGACATTCGGCAAATAAATTTACAAGCTGATCAATTGGTTTATACCGAAAAAGACCATGCCTTGGATAGCATCATTTCAATTCTGAACGACTACTACCCTGATGGCTGCAATGACGAGAATGATGTATGGTTTAAGTACTGGCGACAGCTCGTAGATAGCGAGGTACCGGGGTTTGTCTTTGTCCCTTTGTTCCTTTCGTCCTCCCCATGCTATGCCTGCCTTCACTGGCAATTCTATCTTTGTTGCCCGTATTGTTTATTTAAATTTGTTGTATTCTGAAATTCCTGTCGCTTTGCTTTTGTATGTGTTGCCCAGGGCTTTGATATTGACCCTATCCCGTACCATGATACTACGAAGCTGCCTATCCCGTACCATGATACTAGGAACCTGGCCTTCGTTCCATTACTGGAGTTGGAAAATTATCCAGGCATTCATGAGCGTATTATTAAACAGGCAAACCTTGCAATTGAGCATCACAACCAAAAGAAAGTATGCCTTCTTTTTCTTGCTATATTGCATTCCTCCTTCTTTTGATACCCCCCATAAATCAGCCGTAGTTAATGTCTTTTGATTAACTTCTTGGAAAGAAATTATTTATTTATTCTGCAGGACACAGACTATGAGTTTGCGAAGGTTGAGAAGGCAAACGCACGATTTTGGGGTCCAACTGGTACCAATTTTTATATTACCTTCCTGGCCAAGGATTCTTATGCTGCTTGTGGTTTGACTACCTTTCAAGCTCTGGTATGGGAAGGTGCAGAACCTGATGAATACTATGTCAAGTTCTGCAGGCCTAAAGTAGTTGCAAATTGACTTATCTCTTGTAAGTAGTTGCAAATAGGTAAGTACTTTTGCTAACCTGTTCCAATGCGTTAGCTATGAAGGCAATCAAGTCAATTTTGTGCATTGCTCAAACATTTTAATTCTTGCATGCTAATTCCGTTTAGCAAATTTGTTCATGATGCAATGGAAATATGAGGTTGGAAAGCTACGTACTTCATAGCTCCTTATTGTACTCAAATGACTCCAAAAGTGTCGAATCCTTGAAATCTTGCATATTTTAAGAAACTAAATTCTTATGACAAGCATCCGTTAAGTAAACAAATTACTCAATTTTCCCTGCCAAATATATGCCTTGTTCCTTTCTCCCACCCCATTATCATTATCCCCTGAGGGGGGTGTTGGTTGGTTCAGATAGGAGAAAAGAAGGCAACTTTCTTTTCGGGCTGCTTTGCATGGGCATTTATCTACCGCAAGCATCTGGTAACGCCATGAGTACCACATTTCGGGAAACCCGTAGCAGAACAACACAACACTAGATCCGGCCCCTATCTCAGCAACATGAATTTGCAACCCTCTTACCATTATATATTTGTGTCCTATCCCATCCTTATCTATTTTGTCAACTTTTAACACTCCTTTGGGATATGATATACTAAAGATGAGATCTCTTTTGAGTTTGCCGAATCCTTGGGCACCAAAAGCTAAACCGCTTGTATTTTTGAATTCAAAAACCTCTGTTCCATCTTCTTCTTTGTCAAAACCAGTTAGGAGCACGGCATGTTCCCCAATGTATCTGTCGATTGAAGATTTTCCTTTATATACTCCCTGCAAAAAATTCACAAATTTTAGTTTTACCACTCACCCAATGTCCACTAATATTAGTTGCTTCTTATCTAATGCCAACCTGGCCAATTTCTCCAGATTCCTTGAAGTTGGGGTAATATAAAGACATTAGACCAACAACTGGAAACCCTTTTATTATGTCATCAACTTCTCGTTTTTGCTTTTGCACTTGGTCAGCCTTGAGTTCATGGTCAGGGAGTAGGGTTCGACTATCGTAGCTAGTGACAAAAATTCTCGTTGCCTACAAATTTTGAAATAATTTAATTGTTAACATATTATTCTAAACCAAATTGCAGATATAAAGGTATGCATTTCATCTTACCTGAAGGGGCGGCCGACAACTAATACAGTCATGAATATACGGATATTCACTACTCAGGGTAAGACCTCTTGCTTTAGCATAGTCAAAGAGTCTAATTGTGTGGTATGCTTCAAATCTCTGTTGTTTGATGTCTTCATCTCTGGCCCCATCCCTCCTTTTTACACAGTTGAGAATTTCTTGCATGGATAAGGGGATTTGTGACTCTTCCCTGTGACAAGTCTGATATTGGGATGCGATTGCTTCTGAACCAACAACTGCCCAACAGACATCTGTACAAAATTTTAATAATTGTGATTTCAGTTGAAATTGAAAAACTATAATTTTCTTTTAAAACTCAAAAGACTTACTCGTTCTTACTTTCCGGACAGGGAGCAGGACATGAGGTTCAGATCGCCATGAAAAAGATTCCTATAAGTAAAGAAATAAAAGTTTGTAAACAACTTATACTAAGCATCAACCTATAGTTTAAGTATTGTATAATTTTTTATGGCAAATCCAAGTGCCATCACAAAGATGCAAAAACGAATTAAAAAAATAAAAAAAAATCTAAGGCATAACAAGTAACGACACTGTTGTGGTACAGAACCAGAATTGTTGCAGGAAATGGAAATAAGTAGACTTCAGAAATGAATTTAGCAGGTTTGCAGACACAATGAATTCAAACGAAAACCTTCATTGCATTCATTAATGGGGGTTAATTCCGGAACTGAATCAGACTTGGCGGGAAAAGTGTAGAAGGGGAAAACAGAATGGGGGTTAACTCCGGAACTGATGAGGGGTTCTGGAGTGTTTCTTGATAATGTTCGGATACAATGGGGGTTAACTGGCGGGAACTGATGGGGGGATGCAAGCCCTGTTCGTCCAAAGTTCTGAGACATCACCCTACGGGCTTTTCAGTGGCAGGGGCCAAAATGTGTATATATATATCTATCTGCTATATGTAATTTGGAACGGAGGTAAGGGAGGTTAATGCAAACTAAATACTTAATGGCCGTCCTTGAGATCCTGATAGGTGTATTAATCAGTAGTAACTAAGGTTTTTTGTTCGACTTTCAATAATTCTTTTTCTCTTTTTAAATTAAAAAATGAATTAAATTACTCAATATTCAAAATGCACTTGGCTTGTTAAAGATTCCTTCAAACTTAATTTGCTAACTAATCAAGCTAGACAATTTTGTTTGTAGTTTTAAATTTTCTACACCTAAAAATTGATTTTCTCAAATTTAAGTGAATTACTCCCTCAAAGTGCATTCATCATTCGTCAAAACAGGCAAAAGTGAGGGAGTAAGGGTGCTAAAGATTTTACATCCTTCTTCTACAGGCATGGATAGAGCATATTTTGACAGGTGATCAGCAGTCTGTTTGAATTCTCATTTACAATGACATAGCTTTAGATGGGGGGGGGTTCCTTTTTAGCAGCTGCAAGCAGTCTTGCAGGAGTGCTTTTTGCAGGAGTGCTTTCTTTTGGTTTTCCTTCGATCTCCCTGCTTCTTGAAGCTCCAGTAGGCTGTCCACAACAATTTTTGAGTCGGAAAGAATTAAAATTTCAGTAAAATTGCATGTTGTGTGTGAAGTAAAACAATTTTACATTCTATGCGTACTTGGTTGCACAATAGTACATGTGTTCATGGACCCAAAAAAGAAAAAGAAATTAAAAGAACCCCAAATGATTAGAAAAATTAAAGCCCAAGATAGTTTGTGCTCCTACTAGTTAATTGGCGGAAAGATCAAGTTAATTATTTTGGAAACTCTCTATGGCATATCATGCATCTCACTTACACAAGGGAAGAAAAACAGGATATCAAAAACTATGAAAGAAATAAAAAGATAAGAAACTTATGAGAAAATTGCTATTGCTCATACGTTTCAACGATTAAGATTTGTTGTATATTTGAAAATTGCGAACGTACATTAATAAAATTAAGTGCCTGCCCGCACTAGTCCCAACTACATACACACGCACATCAAAATATACGAATACAAGGAGAAAACATAATCAGTAATTCACTTAAATTTGAGAAAATCAATTTTTAGGTGTAGAAAATTTAAAACTACAAACAAAATTGTCTAGCTTGATTAGTTAGCAAATTAAGTTTGAAGGAATCTTTAACAAGCCAAGTGCATTTTGAATATTGAGTAATTTAATTCATTTTTTAATTTAAAAAGAGAAAAAGAATTATTGAAAGTCGAACAAAAAACCTTAGTTACTACTGATTAATACACCTATCAGGATCTCAAGGACAGCCATTAAGCATTTAGTTTGCATTAACCTCCCTTACCTCCGTTCCAAATTACATATAGCAGATAGATATATATATACACATTTTGGCCCCTGCCACTGAAAAGCCCGTAGGGTGATGTCTCAGAACTTTGGACGAACAGGGCTTGCATCCCCCCATCAGTTCCCGCCAGTTAACCCCCATTGTATCCGAACATTATCAAGAAACACTCCAGAACCCCTCATCAGTTCCGGAGTTAACCCCCATTCTGTTTTCCCCTTCTATACTTTTTCCGCCAAGTCTGATTCAGTTCCGGAGTTAACCCCCCATTAATGAATGCAATGAAGGTTTTCGTTTGAATTCATTGTGTCTACAAACCTGCTAAATTCATTTCTGAAGTCTACTTATTTCCATTTCCTGCAACAATTCTGGTTCTGTACCACAACAGTGTCGTTACTTGTTATGCCTTAGATTTTTTTTTATTTTTTTAATTCGTTTTTGCATCTTTGTGATGGCACTTGGATTTGCCATAAAAAAATTATACAATACTTAAACTATAGGTTGATGCTTAGTATAAGTTGTTTACAAACTTTTATTTCTTTACTTATAGGAATCTTTTTCATGGCGATCTGAACCTCATGTCCTGCTCCCTGTCCGGAAAGTAAGAACGAGTAAATCTTTTGAGCTTTAAACGAAAATTATAGTTTTTCAATTTCAACTGAAATCACAATTATTAAAATTTTGTACAGATGTCTGTTGGGCAGTTGTTGGTTCAGAAGCAATCGCATCCCAATATCAGACTTGTCACAGGGAAGAGTCACAAATCCCCTTATCCATGCAAGAAATTCTCAACTGTGTAAAAAGGAGGGATGGGGCCAGAGATGAAGACATCAAACAACAGAGATTTGAAGCATACCACACAATTAGACTCTTTGACTATGCTAAAGCAAGAGGTCTTACCCTGAGTAGTGAATATCCGTATATTCATGACTGTATTAGTTGTCGGCCGCCCCTTCAGGTAAGATGAAATGCATACCTTTATATCTGCAATTTGGTTTAGAATAATATGTTAACAATTAAATTATTTCAAAATTTGTAGGCAACGAGAATTTTTGTCACTAGCTACGATAGTCGAACCCTACTCCCTGACCATGAACTCAAGGCTGACCAAGTACAAAAGCAAAAACGAGAAGTTGATGACATAATAAAAGGGTTTCCAGTTGTTGGTCTAATGTCTTTATATTACCCCAGCTTCAAGGAATCTGGAGAAATTGGCCAGGTTGGCATTAGATAAGAAGCAACTAATATTAGTGGACATTGGGTGAGTGGTAAAACTAAAATTTGTGAATTTTTTGCAGGGAGTATATAAAGGAAAATCTTCAATCGACAGATACATTGGGGAACATGCCGTGCTCCTAACTGGTTTTGACAAAGAAGAAGATGGAACAGAGGTTTTTGAATTCAAAAATACAAGCGGTTTAGCTTTTGGTGCCCAAGGATTCGGCAAACTCAAAAGAGATCTCATCTTTAGCATATCATATCCCAAAGGAGTGTTAAAAGTTGACAAAATAGATAAGGATGGGATAGGACACAAATATATAATGGCAAGAGGGTTGCAAATTCATGTTGCTGAGATAGGGGCCGGATCTAGTGTTGTGTTGTTCTGCTACGGGTTTCCCGAAATGTGGTACTCATGGCGTCACGTTATTATATCCCAAATATGCTATTTTTGTTGAAGGCATATCCCAAATATGTTAACTATTTAAATTCTATGTACATAAATACTAGTATTCTTTAACGGGTAATAAAATAGTATTCTTTAATGTGTACATTATGAAATATGGATTTGGACTAACCTCAATCAAGAATGAATTTCAAAATAAATACATAAAAAAGGCGTGGTATTTGGGCCATTGGTAGAGCTTTTAACAAGCCTAATCGAGCCGAATATTTGGTGTTCAGATCTGTTCATATATTATACAAATTGGGCCCGAATTCGACTCGAATATTAACAAATTATAAATATTGTTTAAATTTGATTCGTTTATTTGTATAAATATTCAAGCTCAAGCTCAACCTCGATTCGTTAAACTATTTGAGCTCGAATTCGAGTTCGAATTTGATTTTAAATTTATTTAATTATATTTTAATAAATAATACATTATTTAGAATAAGTTTAATGGTATTTATTGATTTTTAAAAAATAATTAATGCTAATTTATGAATAATTACTTTTTTAGTTAAATATATATTTAATAATATTTTTATTTTTATTTTTGTTTTTATAAGTATATATATATATACACTTATAAGTATAAGTATATATATATAATATACTATAATATATTTTAATAATACTGTGAAGATAAAATTCAACTGACCGGCACCATCAATCAAGTTTTCCAGTACGCTACGCTATTGACAACGGTGTCTGCTTGGCTCGGGATTACCCGTTTGACGAGAATAGAGAATGCAGACCTCCAAAAGTGGCTAATTCAGCTACATTTAAAAGATCAATTTATTTGTGTCAAAAATTTGATTCCAAAGTGTAATAGTGCAGTTTGTGGAAATATAATTGCACAGCGGCCCCGTTTGGTAAGTGAGTTTTTTGGGTGTTTGTTTAAAACTTTACTGTAACTTATTGTAGAAGTTTTTAAAAAAAATTTTGAAGTGTGTAAATTTTTGAATATTTTGAAATGTATGTTTAAAAACTTTGAAAAGTTTTGTGAGGTTACAAACAAGGCCAAAAAAAACTTGGTAAAAACTCAAGTCAAAAACTTGTACCAGACAAACTTGGTAAAAAACTCAAGTGCCAAACAAGGGTTTCATAATGCAGAATGCAATTTTCTTCGGCCATTTATGCCTTGTTCAAACCGGTCTTTGATGGCACAATCAAAGGGGGGAATTTGGCTTATATATATATATATCAAGTGTTTGAAAAGATTGAGGTGAGCGAGGTGATATTTATTTCTGCCCACGAGCCAAAACAAGTACTAGCTTTTGCTGTTTTTGTTTTCCATAAATCTATTTTGTTTGATGACCAATTTTGTTAATAAATATATGCTCAGGGCTTTGACATTTGGGATTTTCCCGGTGTCTGCATGATGACTTCAATTGTTCCAATGACAAATTTTGAGAACTTCCCAGAAGAACATGAAGACGTTAATTATTCAGGCAACAGCCGCAATCAATCAATGCAACGATAACCAAGTAGTACTATGCAACTATCATCTTTTTTTCCCTAATTAAGATAAATTCCCTTTGCAGTGATATCTCTTATTCTATAATTGTTAAGCTTAACAATGCAGGGGACAGATTACAAGTTTGTGAAGGTTGAGAAAGCAAATTCACAAGGTTGGGACGTTGGTACTATTAACTTTTACATAACTTTTCAAGCTGCTGATGGTACGAATATCAACACCTTTCAAGCTCTGCTATGGGTTGGTCCTGCATGGAAATATCCTATACCGGTTGTGAAATTTTGCAGGCTTAGAGCTGGTGGCCTAAGTTTTAAATCGTCAGCAGCTTTTTTAAACCCCTCGTGTCACAAGGAACAGGTTGCACGGCATTTTTGGGTTCTAAACTACAAGGGATGCCTGGATATTGGTCTTTCTATTGTAAAATTTTCCAGAAGAAGTACGCACAATCATCAGCTACGCGTCTTTTTTTTATTTTCCTTTCTTTTTTTTTTTCCTAAGGTCAGTTAAAACCATGTACAACTTTATATGTGCGGATGGTTGAAGAAAATCTGAAATTTCGATATCTGGGTTGAGAAAGATTATTCATATTTTGCGTGGTTGTGTCCTTGAGAGTTTTGACAAAACAAAGTAGTTTTAGCGCTTGGCAGTCTTTGATTGTTTTATTGCTTGGAGCCGTTATTTCTGATTTTGTACGTGGTGTTAAATACAGTTCTCACCTGATTTCTCTGGATATACTGTTCCAGATAGGTTAAGTAGTTCCTGCAGGAGGAGTCAATAGGCTGAGATATTGAATGGTTCAAAGAGTGTTACAAGCCTGTAGGAGAAGCTAATGAACAGAAATGCTAGACCAACTGTTCAATGGTAATTAGTGTAGGGAAAAGGATATTTTCCTTGATTCTCTTTTATACTTTGGATGGCCTGTTGTAGGAGATCACTCACTAGGAATCGGCTTAGGGAATGGGGCTGTTTAACAGGGACAGTTGAATGTGTGCTGTGCAGTGAAAGTCGAGGAAATCGTCGATCATCTCTATTTCAATTGCTCTATAGCTGCTGCAGTTTGCAAAAAGCTCAGAAAATTGTGTTCTATTTATGGGGGTTAGACATCCTTGGAATCTGGAGATAACGTGGCTAAGTCAACACTAAAAATCCAATTCTTGGAGTGAATAAAGTTTATATTGCAGACCGGTGTTGGCTGTGACTATCTATCACCGATCGAAGCAAGAAACGGGATTCTCTTCCAACATTTTTCTGCATCTGCACATTCGAATATGATTGCTATTGTGGTTGATATCAGAATCATAGGAGCCACTTGGAAAACTGGGATTTCTAGCTAGAATGGGGGTATTCTTTTTACATGTTTTAGGAATCATTGATTGTTTTGTTTTGTATATAATAAATATAGGAAACTAGATACTTAGCTATAGTTACTTGGATTTAATTGCTGTTCAAATTTGGTTGGAATGCTAGCAATAAAAAGGGGTAAGAATGAACAATAATCAGGGAAACAAACTGACGTTTGTTCACCCCTCAGTTAAACGATTCTTTCCGGAAATGTGTGTGTGAATTAGGAGACAGACCATATAACACGCCAGTGCACGGGAATTGGAATTTGCAAGAGGTTAGTGTTTTGGCAATTTAGAATCTCTATCATGAGTGCTCCAAGAATAATGCTGGTAAATCGTCTTCTAATTGCAAATACAAAATACTGGGCGCTTAAAATCGGAATCCCCACACCTTGTTTATCCATTTCTAACTTGGACGCCACCAAGTCATCAACAGCGGGCACCCTCCTCAGACAAGACCTGGATTAGAACTCAAGAAGTACGACTTTCATGGATGTTTACCAATTTTGACTACTATTAATTCTAGAAAATCCATCAAATAAAGCTTTTTACCTAGCAGTCTCATTTGGGATTGCATCCATGCTTTTACTCAGGTTGGTAGTAAAACTAGCTATCCGACAGAAAAGCATCAAGGACCAAGCAAAGCGAACTGAAAGGCAAGGACAGCAGTCAAGATCTGGGTCTCATAGAGTTGATAAGAGGCCAGAGGAGCTAAGAGCCCAAGCCGTGCTTATATACGAGGTAAAATGACAATGCTACATTTTTCAAGTTATGGCGACCATGAAGTCAACAGCATACTGGAAAACTTGATTAATGGTGCCGGTCCGTTGAATTTTATCTTCACAGTCACAACCTTCCTTTTTCCTACTTCCTAGGCAATTAATTATCTCTTGTTTTGATAATTTCTCCTGATCTTCTTCTATGTGGTTGATTTTATAGTTGGCAGACATCGTCTGGAGAGCTGTTTCTATGTAGCGTCTTCCACAAAGATACAAGATTTGAAGCGAAAATAAGGAAACTCAGTTTATAAAATTTCAAAAACAATCATTAAATTTCAGTATCTCAACATATTAAAGAAACTAGAAGAATTCTCTTGATTTTGGAGTAAGTTTCTAAACTAATACTACCTCACAATCATTAAATATCTTAATATGCCAAGAAATTAAAGAAACCAAAAGAAATTCCCTTAATTTTGGAGCTGGTTTCTAAGTAATACTATCTATCTATACTATATACTATTTACCAGTTGATAGATGTTCTAGAAGATTTTCAATAACATGATATGTGTCATTTCCCAAGATTTTTGGAAATTTTTTTGTCATTATTCTTTTATAATTTCGATTAATGTTATCTAATGCTTGTGTCATTTCCTAAGATTTTTGGATTATTTATTCTTTAACAAGTTCGATCAATGTTATTTAATGCTTATCTATAGTTTAGTTCAAATGTTTAAATCCCACAGGAAAAAATTTGGTTAAACTAACTTATCAAAAATCCTATTATTTGTTACTAAGTAAAACTCACTTAACGTTTCCTATGGATAGTAACAACCATAGTTAAACTAACTTATGAATAAGCCTCCCTAATCTACTTATTTATCATCTAGATATTCTATAAGTTTTCTAATACTAACAGTTGGGTACGTGTTTTATAATTTTTTGAATGCTTCAAAAATTTTAACAATTATATATCAAAATTTTAATTTATATTTAGAAGCTTTATAATGAACTCAAGTTTATGTTACAATATGCACAATATTTAACAATTATATGTTTCATTATGATTTGTATTCACATATTCAAAATAACTGAAAAAAACCTCAATATTCTTTTTCATGTATTTTTTTTATATTCATCTTTTACAGGGTTGTTGGGTATTCGAATGCCTTTTAGAGATAAGATAGAGCGATTTTACCACTAAGTTTAGACAAGCCTCCATGTAGATTACTAGACCCGGCAATTATACCTAAAACCCAACAACCCATCCAACCCACCCCCTAATTTGAGAGGTTGGGTTGGGTAAGCTGGGTATTGGGTCAATTTTGGGTTGGGTAATAAAAGTCCACATATATTTTGGGCGGTTTGGGTATTTATGTTGAGCACACATTACCCAACTTTTGCTAATTGAATCAAGTGAATAATCAACACAATCTTAAAAGGGTGAATAGTTACTCAAAAGCATCAACTATAGACTTTTTTTATTATTTTTTGTTATAAACATCTTTTGTGATTATAACATAATTTGCCAAGCAAGTTAAAATTTTTTTACTTGGCATATTTTTAATTC